GTATTTTAAAGAGATTTGCAAAAATGTACCACAGCATCAGTTTTCTCACTGTTATTTTGTTTGAAAAAGTATGTTTTTCAAGAAAAGTTATTTATGTTAACACATAATGGATTTATTACTTTGTCATTAATTTTTAATGAATTAATAAATTTTTTTAAAATTTATGGTTTTAATTGCTAATATGATAAATATTGATAGCTATGACCAACATAAACAAAAGCTGCTTGAGGTTCTCAAAAACTTTTAAGAATGTAATGGGTCTTTTAACTAAGCTGTTAGAGAACCACTGATATGCATATAACAATTAAATATTTTTGAAGATGCCTGTACTTATCTTCTATAATTCTTCAAATCTTCTTTGAATAGTCTACATGTGCATATATCTGCATCTGTATATACAATTACATATTTGCATGCATTTTTGTTTTTACACATTTATTGTGTGTTCATGTATGTTTGCCAACGGAACTGCAACTTGAATGGGAGCACTGACCTACTTGGTGTTTTGGTTCTTTCTTGTGGCTGATATTTTGTACACAGGCCAAGTTTCTAGAAGTGATTTAGTTATGCGAGCTAGTGGATTTCTAATGATAGTCTTGGATGAAAGGCATGGAGTTCCATAGTGACAGGCAAGAGAGTTGGTGGGAGCGGGTCCTCTAGGGAAGCTGCTGTCACAGGTCAGCCTTATCCTCTGATGGTTGTGCTGGATTTCTTCAAACTTGTATTGTGCTCAAAGCAGGAACTCAGAGGTATCCTTAGAATGAGGCTTCACTGTACAAAGTCCTGGCCCCTATGAAAGTGTCAGTGAAGATGCTGGCTCTCTAAAATCAAATTCAAAGAGGAAGTACATTTGCACTTCTCAGCCACACCCAGCTGCCAACAGATGTTTGAGATCCTTGCTTCACTGATGTTATTAACTCTAGAGTTACCTGAAATTTAGTTGCTATATGTATTCTCTCTCATTTTCACATGACACTAAAAGGTCAAGACTGAGCCATATCTATCTTCATTTATTTTATCTATCCTGGAGCCTTTTCTTTATTGTGACTGTTCTGTCTTTTCTGATCCCCCACCCTGCCTCTACTCCTACACCACCCCACTTGCAGAATTTCCTCTTCTTATTTCCAATGAAATCCTTCAGAGCTAAACAAACATCAGCACCTACAGTGCTGGATGACACAATGCAATTTCCTTAAAACTCACAACATAAAAATAGCAATACCAGGAATTGGAGCAATAGAGCTGTGCAACCTAATTTGGCCCCACAGATTCATTCTATCTTTGCTGGTCTGTCCTTGTTTTTCCCCTGTTGACTTGTCCCAGAAGAAGATCTTCAACCTTTTTAATGCTATCTAAATTTTTATTGCCAAAGTAGAGAGAAAACCTAGAGTTAAATGGTCTCTTCTTATGTCTCACTTCATTTTCTCTTTTCTCAACCGTGTAGGGAAAGAGAATTTTGATGGGTTTTTTAACATGGCTGACATAAGTTTTATTCATCAGAGGAGACATCCAGATTCAGTCTGCTACATTCATTTAATCACAGGCCTGACATCCAAGGCTTTGGGGAAAAGAAGAAAGTAGGATTGAGATGGGAGGTGGTGGAGGCGAGGAGATGGTGGTGGTGCAGGAGTCAACTAAGTGGTATATCAAGCAGTGATGATAGGAAAATATTCTCCCATCTTCTCTTACCTTCCTCTTTCTGCTGCCACGCCTCAGGCACAAGGTGAGGGGCAGGCCCTGGAGAGGCAGATGTTCAAGGTTATATAATGCTGCCACAACCCCGACACACGGTGAGGTGCAGGCCCTGATGGGGCAGAAGTTTAAGGTACTAGCAGGCTGGGGATGCGGAGGAGAAAAAGGAGGAAATCTTAGGCGGTGGTCTGGTTGGAGAGAAGGAAGAAGTTTCTCTTGTCACTAACCTCCTTATTGAGCCCAGTTCCCAAATGGCTATTAGTATGCAAGAAAAAAAAATACATAAATGTATGTATGTATGTATATGTGTTTGTGTATGTGTTGGGAGAAGAGTTTGGAGCAGGGATTACTGCTAAATGCCTCCAGCTGCCCACACAACTGTTGTTATTTTTCTATGTCATTATTCTCAGTCTATATTTGTATAGACTGAAAAAACCATTTAACTCTAGGTTTTCTTTGTTATTATAAATGAGTCCAAGAGATGTATAAGATTCAAAAGAATATAGTTTGAAGGGCATTGGTGGTGATTTAGAAACCTCAACATCACTGCCAATCAGCAAGTCCTGCCAATCTGCGTCTTCAATACTTCTTAAAGCTGGCTACTCTTTATCCTCACTAGCATTGCCATATTATTTCTTGCTTTAGTTGACCAAAAATCTTCATTTTCTTTAATTCCCATATTTTTCTTCGAATTCATAATGCAACCACAGTGAGCAATCCTGAAGAGAAATATACTTCATTCCTTAAAGTTCTTCTGTGGCACCATATTCCTTAAGGGGAATATCTAAATCCCTTAGTATGGTTACAACGGTTCTGTGACCTAAGTCCTGCATCCTCCTTTGCATTTCCCAGCCACACATCCTCAGCTTTTTAGAGACCACTGACATAGTCCTCAGAACCTTCCCAGTGCTCTCTGGCATTTGCACCTTAGGGTTTCCTCTGTTTGCAACATACTTTCCACATTTCTTTACCCTGTGAATTCTTTTTTTTTTTTTTTTTTAGATGAAGTCTTGCTCTGTTGCCCAGGCTGGAGTGCAGTGGTGCAATCTTAGCTCATTGCAACCTCCTCCTCCCAGGTTCAAGCGATTCTCTTGCCTCAGCCTCCCTAGTACCTGGAATTACAGGTGTGTGCCACCATGCCCGGCTAATTTTTGTATTTTTAGTAGAGATGGGGTTTCACTATGTTGTCCAGGCTGGTCTCAAACTTCTGACCTCAGGTGATCCACTTGTCTCAGCCTCCCAAAGTGCTGGGATTACAGATGTGAGCCACCACACCTGGCCTACCCTGTGAATTCTAAGTAGCTGATCCTTCGAAGCTCAGATTAGGTATCACTTCTGCAAGACTGAGCTGAGGATTCTTTACATGCCCCTCCTAAGTATATCTCTGTCTCAGCCCCCACCACTCTGCATTTTAATTATTTTCATTAGTGTTACTAATATTAATGTATTAATATTTATTATCATTTTCCCTTAGTTCATGGGTTTGCTCATGGGTAGAGACTGATTTTTTTATCTCTGCTTTCTCAGTTTTAATCTCACCACATAGGCAGTACCCCCTAAATAAATTGAATACCTTCATCTTGTGGTTTGAGAAACCCAGAGAGAGAAGCCACCTTGCCAGGGATCACACAATAGAAGCAAAGCCTGCCTTTTTTTTTCTTTTTTTGAGACACAGTTTTGCTCTTGTTGCCCAGGCTGGAGTGCAATGGCCTGATCTCGGCTCACTGCAACTTCTGCCTCCTGGGTTCAAGTAACTCCTGCCTTAGCCTCCCGAGTAGCTGGTATTACAGGCATGTGCCACCATGCCTGGATAATTTTGTAGCCTTAGTAGAGAAAGGGTTTCTCCATCGTGGTCAGGCTGGTCTCGAACTCCTGGCCTCAGGTGGGTGGGATGTGCAGAGATGTGAGAGTGCAGAGATGCCTGAGTGCAGCCACAACTTGTGTGGGACTCTGGGGACTGCCTGCCTCTCTGTGTTTTCCCCACAGCAGAGGCGCGGCCCCAGCCAACCCCGCACAAAGGAACCCCACACTCTCAGGACCGGCACCATAAGTCCTGGCTGCGCAGCTGGGTGCTCGTAGGCTCCTGAGATGCGTTGAGGAGTGAGCTTTAGGCCGGGACGGAGGTTTTGGGACTGAGAGCAGGTCCTGGTCGGCCATGCGAGGGCAGAGGTGGCACCGTCGGCTGCCTCAGGGACATGGAGGGCACGAGTCCCACCGCCGCCACTGCTGCTTCCACAACCCCTCCTGCCGCTACTGCCCGCACCTCCCCGCTGCAGCAGGCATGATGGCAGTGGCCACTCTGGAGGGTCCACGGCTGCCATCACTGGGAACAAGTTGTGCCTAGCTTGCAATTAATTTATTCCACTTGGCTCACATCTGAAAGAATTAATGCAGCTAATCTTTCCAAGTGATCATCAGTCTTTAGGAGTCTATAGAGTGCCCTGCTGTTCACTTGAAGGAAGTCCTGTTAGTTTAGAAGGACAGGGCTCTACAGCATATACATAAATTAAGCCATGTCTTGAAGTGGATGTGAATGATAATCTTTGACCTTTTTTTGTGACACATAGAAACAGAAACTACATACTGTATGGTATTTTACTGACTTATACAATGTGTCTGTCATGTTTACAAAATGCTGTGTGCTGTGGCGGACATACCATTACCTTTCTTTAAGGTGAAGCTGTGGGAGTCTAACAGGAAACAGAAATCTCAGTGTCAGTCACTTACTATGCAAAGCATTTGGCATAAATTTCATTTAATCCGGGCCAGGCGCAGTGGTTCACGCAGGTAACCCTAGCACTTTGGGAGGCCATGGCAGGTGGATCACTTGAGGTCAGGAGTTCAGAGACGAGCCTGACCAACATGGCGAAACCCTGTTACCAGCAAAAATAAAATTGCCGGGCGCGGTGGCTCACACCTGTAATCCCCACACTTTGGAAGGCCGAGGCGGGCGGATCACGAGGTCAGGAGTTTGACACCAGCCTGACCCACATAGCGAAACCCCGTCTTTACTAAAAAAATACAAAAATTAGCTGGGTGTGGTGGTGCGCGTCTGTAGTCCTAGCTACTCAGAAGGCTGAGGCAGGACAATTGCTTGAACGCGGAAGGCTGAGGTTGTAGTGAGCCGAGATCGCACCATTGCACTCCAGCCTGCGACAGAGTGAGACTCCTCCATCTTCAAAAAAAAAAAAAAAAAGTACAAAAATTAGCTCAGTGTGGTGGTGGGCGCCTGTAATTCCAGCTACTTGGGAGAGTGAAGGAGGAGAATCAGTTGAACCTGGGAAGCGATGTTGCAATGAGCTGAGATCCTGCCACTGCGCTCCAGCTTGGGCAACAGAGTGAGACTCCATCTCAAAAAACAAGAAGAAAAAGAAACACTCATGCCTCATTAATGAGAAATAGAAATCTGTAGGGAGGAGAGGGATACCCCTGTTGAATTCGTAGGCCACAGTAAAATCTTACCGCATTTCTGATTTTAAATGAGACTGAGGTCACTGGTAAATTTCTGAATACTAACTCATCCCCTAAAAACGGGAGTTTGATTAGCAAATTAGTTAAGCACTTCAGTAATGATACTGAGACTTAATTTCATGTTTCCTCCTTTTCTCTTTCTGGGTGTGACTAAATTGCCTACAGCATGCTGCATGGTTGCTGGTAAAACAGGAAATGGGGTAAGTAATTTAGGTAGGGAATTTTTGCTACCACTTAAATACAAGCTACCTGGTTCTTAAAGTACTTTTACTACTACAATCTCTATTTTTAGAGTGCATTCACTAGCTACTAGAGAAATTAGCACAAATAACCAATTTTTGTTGTATAAATTTAGGGTATCAACCTTGTTTCTTTAGTTTTATTTGCATAGCATATTAGTTTATTAAAACTGATTCATTTTTTGTGTATTTTAACATGAATGTAAATACATGTTTTATATGCATTAGGCACTTATATAATGTAGTTTGGGCAATTTTTTTTTTTTTTTTTTTTGAGACGGAGTTTGGCTCTTGTTACCTAGGCTGGAGTGCAATGGCGCGATCTCGGCTCACCGCAACCTCCGCCTCCTGGGTTCAGGCAATTCTCCTGCCTCAGCCTCCTGAGTAGCTGGGATTACAGGCACGCGCCACCATGCCCAGCTAATTTTTTGTAGTTTTAGTAGAGACGGGGTTTCACCGTGTTGACCAGGATGGTCTCGATCTGTTGACCTCGTGATCCACCCGCCTCGGCCTCCCAAAGTGCTGGGATTACAGACGTGATCCACCGCGCCCGGCCTGGGCAATTATTTTTTAAAAATAAATTTTATTTATTATTATTATTTTTTAGACTGAGTCTTGCTCTGTCACCCAGGCTGGAATGCAGTGGTGTGATCTCGGCTCACTGCAACCTCCACCTCCCTGGTTCAAGCAATTCTCCTGCCTTGGCCTTGCAAGTAACTGGGATTACAGGAGCCTGCCACCACACCTAGCTGATTTTTGTATTTTTAGTAGAGATGGGGTTTCACCATGTTGTCCAGGCTGGTCTCGAACTCTTGACCTCAAGTGATCCATCTGCCTTGGCCTCCCAAAGTGCTGGGATTACAGGTGTGAGTCACCACACCCCCCCTAAAAATAAATTTTATATTGGTCTTAGAAACTAAAGTATAAAACTATGTCATAAAAGATAAAAAGTAAATAACTGGCAGAACAGCAGTGAGTTTACACATAGGTAAGACATAGAAAACATAGATTCACAATCTTTTATCTGAAACCCCTGGAGGCCAAAAATATTTTGAAATATAGAATTTTTGGATTTGTAAAATATGTTGTTAAAGATCATATATACCATATCCTTCTCCCATAGGCTCTGGGGTGGTACTATGTAATCAAACATATTAATATTTCTGCAACAAAACATATGAATATTCACAGTATGTTTGATAGTCTCTAAAGCGCCTCCTTCAAGTTAGGATTTGATTGTCAACTGAGTTTAAAATTTTTTTTTTTGGCCGGGTACGGTGGCTCAAGCCTGTAATCCCAGCACTTTGGGAGGCCGAGGCGGGTGGATCACGAGGTCAAGAGATCGAGACCATCCCAGTCAAAATGGTGAAACCCCGTCTCTACTAAAAATACAAAAACATTAGCTGGGCATGGTGGCGCGTGCCTGTAATCCCAGCTACTCAGGAGGCTGAGGCAGGAGAATTGCCTGAACCCTGGAGGCGGAGGTTGCGGTGAACCGAGATCGCGCCATTGCACTCCAGCCTGGGTAACAAGAGCGAAACTCCGTCTCAAAAAAAAAAAAAAAATTTTTTTTTTAATTCTCCAGAACATTTTGGAGTTTGAAACTAAAAATTCTCTACCAGTATAAAAAAGGGCCATGTCACTGTTGGAGGTACCTGTATGCTCTGGAGAGAAAACTCCAGGAAGAAGTACAAATTTCTATTTAGAATTTCAGACTTGGTTAAGTGACTTACATAAAAATAATTTGGCTGTTTTGTTTGTTTTGTGCTGTATAACTGCATTTAAAAAGGGGTAATAACTACATAGGGTTTGGGGGTTTTGTTAGGTTTTATTAAATTAGTCTCAAATGCTTTAGATTCTGGTGTAATAATAAAACTTGATCCTATGTTTTTAGAAATTTGCTAGCATAGTCAGAGCTTACTTTTTTCTAAATGTTTTCTTTTTTTTGAGACGGAGTTTCACTCATGTTACCCAGGCTGGAGTGCAATGGCGCGATCTCGGCTCACCGCAACCTCCGCCTCCTGGGTTCAGGCAATTCTCCTGCCTCAGCCTCCTGAGTAGCTGGGATTACAGGCATGCACCACCATGCCCAGCTAATTTTTTGTATTTTTAGTAGAGATGGGGTTTCACCGTGTTGACCAGGATGGTCTCGATCTCTTGACCTCGTGATCCACCCGCCTCGGCCTCCCAAAGTGCTGGGATTACAGGCTTGAGCCACCGCGCCCGGCCTCTAAATGTTTTCAATTTATATCCATGTTGCTTATGAGTTACTCTTTTTCTTTTCTTTCTTTCTTTTTTTTTTTTTTTTTTTGAGATGTAGTTTTGCTCTTGTTGCCCAGGCTGGAGTGCAGTCGTGCAATCTCAGCTAACTGCAACCTCCACCTCCTAGGTTCAAGTGATTCTCCTGCCTCAGCCTCCCAAGTAGCTCAGGATTACACATATGTGCCATCATGCCTAACTAATTTTTTTTGTGTTTTTAGTAGAGACAGGGTTTACCATGTTGGCCAGGCTGGTCTCAAACTCCTGACCTCAGGTGATCATCTGCCTCAGTTTCCCAAAGTGCTGGGATTACAGGCATGAGCCACCACGCTTGGCCTGTTATTATTTCTTATCAAAGGATTTTAAACTAAGTTTAGTTCTTCTAAAAGATTCTGATTGATAGAGGGATAATGGAACAGAAAAAGATAAAGGTCATTGGTTTTTTCTTCAGTGTCCCTAGTTCATCCTGGGTTGAAAAGCTTGTGGATAAATTGCTTTAGAGAATTTACAAAAAAAAAAAAAAAATTAATTGCATTGCATATGCTGGTTCATCTTTTCTCTAGAAGGGTTGTTGTATTGTATCTACAGCAAAAGTGATTGTAATTGGCATTCTCATAAGTACTTATCCGGCAGAGAAGAGAAAGAGAAATGTAGTTACTAAGTATGAAATGGGGACTGAATTTACCTTAAAGAGTACTAGTCCCTCTAAAGGACAATCAGGTATATGCTAGGGACTTCTGTGAAAATATTTACCCCAAATTGTATTAGGAAAGTTATTAGCCACATTTAACTTTCAGGATTGGAAATCTGACATTTTAAGTATTATATTTTCCTTATATATAAGGATTTCCAAGCTGTCCATTAACCCTTTCCTCTGGCTCTATAATCTGGAGAGAAAAAGTACCTATAGTTGAAGTTTTTAAACTAGACTAAAATGCACTAAATATATGTCAAAGACTGTGAAGGATTTAAAACACCAGTTTTCTTAAATACATAATGAGTAATGTTTTAACTCACTTTTGGGATTGGCTTTTGTAACAACCCTTTGGACTTTCCAGAAATGTAAACAATTTTAAAAATAGCTTCCGTTCTTGTGTTTTCTATTTCAACTTTTTATTCTTTAAAATGTATTTTCATATATTATTTACTTTCAACTGTGATAATATTTTGTGCAAATATTGTTAAATAGTTGGATTGTTGACACAATATCAGGATAGTCTTTAAAAATACCTAAAATGTTTCTGATATTCAGAGAATTATGAACACTTTATGAAGCTAAAACACTTAGTATTTTAATAAGTTCTTGAATGTAGAGAAATAATTTGATTATTTGTCAGATGTAGAGTTTATCTGGCTATTTCATTGTTAAATCACAATTCCAAAGCATATGAAAGCACTCTCTGTAACCAGTTATATTCTCAGCTGAATAGAGAATGGATAGATCAACCATTTATTTTATTTTTTTGGATCAACTATTTCTTATTTTGCATTTTTAGAGGAACGATGGTCTTGATATTCTTTTTCTTTTTCTTATCAACTAAATTCAGCCATTAGCTTAACTACTTTTTTTTTTTTTTAACCTGTAGTTAGTAGTATCTTTTGGTCTTAAATTACAGTGAATTACATTACAATGGATATTGCCTACAAGGAATAATTTCTATCAGTGAAAATCGGGCATTAAAAGGGATGTTGCATAAGTTGGTCCTTACATCTCTTTTATTAAAAGCAGCCCTATAAATAGCCACAAGGCTGGTATGAAGTTTTAATTATTTGAATGATGTGGGCTTGTTAGTTTGTTAGTGATATCCAGTGTTCTCAGCAGAGTGGAGTGGTTTTAATAATACCACGCCGTGTTTTTCATCCTTTTATCTCAAGTTCCTTTCTATCACAATTTTAGGTTAGAAACTAAAGCTAGAATTTATAAAAGGGACTTCCCCAAACCTATTTATTGTCTCATGAGTATATTTTGGGGGAATGTCAAATTTTATTCAGATATTTATCTGATAATACATTGATGAGCATTTCAGAACATTCATACTTTAGAGTTTAATATTTCTTCTTCAGCAGTAAAGTTTTTTAAAAAGTACAACTTTTATGTTGATTTCCCAAAAGTAAGCCCCATTTTCAACAAGAGGGGAAAAATAAGCATTTTAAATGTGGATGTGATTATTGTACTACACAGTTTTACAGTTTGTGAGCAATAAACAATCATCTCTATCCCATCTTACTGTTTTCTGATGTATACATCCTGGAATCTGGCAATTGTAGCTCAGAAAAACCCATTAGTGTGCTTTTGACTTTGAAGCTTTAAACATTGTGTTATATGCCATTAAAAAAGTAGTTCCAGGCCGGGCGCGGTGGCTCAAGCCTGTAATCCCAGCACTTTGGGAGGCCGAGGTGGGTGGATCACGAGGTCAAGAGATCGAGACCATCCTGGTCAACATGGTGAAACCCTGTCTC